AAAAAAAAAAAAAAAAAAGAACAAGTTTACAAGTAATATTACAGACATACCTGACATGGTTTGATCAAGTTTGTGGATAAGAGACTTCTTAGCACATTCAACATCAGGACTTGGGTAATCCAGAACTTGCCTGCACCAAACTAACGGACTAACCGATTTCTGCATTGGTGTAAGTTTTTTCTTTGGTGATGAATATAGCCTAGAAGAAAACAAAAAACAAAAACAGTTACTCATTACTAAGTAGGGATTTTTTTTTTTGGATAGACTTAAATTGGATGGAAGACTGTGAAAGAGATGAAATATGTTTAAACTCACTCACATTTACTCACTGCACAGGCAGAAAATGGTATCGTAACAATCAGTACAAACTCAATGTCAAGTACTAACTGAACCCAAAGGAAGCATTCCTAAAATGTGTCACGTATTTTCTCTTACTTTACTAAAACTCTGTGGAAATGTCTATCTTTACAACAGTTTATTCCACTTTCAAGAGTACTTGACTAAGTCCCTGATATAGTCGTATCATTAAATCTAGTTCGGGAAGCAGGAGGAGATAAATTCCCTGCTCATCACCTCTCATTCCCCTTCCCACCACACATGCACACAGAAATCTACCATCAGGAGTCATTCCTTTTAGTTAAGCAGTATCTATTCTTTTTTGTTGTTGTTGTTACAGTTTGGCCGGGGCAGGGTTCAAACCCGCCACCCTCGCTATATGGGGCTGGCGCCCTGCTTACAGAGCCACAGGGGCCACCCAAGCAGTATCTGTTCTGTAGTCTTCTTTTCTTTTTCACTTTTTTGGTGTTTTTTTTTTGGGGGGGGGTTGTAAACAGATTCTCACTCTGTCACCCCAGGGACAGTGCAGTGGTGTCATCATACCTTACAGCAACCTCAAATTCCTGGGCTCAACCAATCCTCCTGTCTCAGCCTCCAAAACACCTGGGACTACAAGCACAGGCAACCATGCCTAGCTAATATTTTCTATTTTTGGCAGAGATGAAGTCTTACTCTTATTCAGCCTGGTCTCCACCTCCTGATCTCAAGAGATCCTTAGATTCAGAGTGCTAAGATTACAGGCATGAGCCACAGCAACTGGCCTGCAGTCTTCTTTTCAAAGATGATAGGTCTGAGAAAAACAATACCCTTAATAACTTAACGTAAATCAACTACAAAGTTACTTCAGTTTCAGAAAAGAAGAAATGGTATTTTACAAGCTAATGGGGAAGGTATACAAAGTGAAAGGTGAGGAAAAGAGAGGGTAGGGGTGCACTGAATTTCCTACTTCACAGTCTCCCCTCAAATTAATCTAGATTATGTCAATTATTAATTTATGTCAAGCATGACTCCATATGAAAACTGAAGAGTTACTTGATTTCTAACTAGGGTGGTTTTCAAATGAAGGTACTTTATGGGGAATTTATAAAGCCGATAAAATTGTGCTTTGACACTGTCTAACTAGGTAGTTATAGGATGTACATACATTCTCATACATTATTTAGCTTTGATCAAGATAATCAAGACTAATAGGATAAACAATCATCTCTTTAGTCTACAATCCATATTCATTTGGACAGTAATATTGAAATGGAATCTCATTTATGAATAGAACAAATCAAAATGAAATCAATGGGGTTCATTCTCTTTCCAGCTAAAACACTGCAAATGTCCCATAACAAATCTCTACCTCAGTATCTTCACTTTAAAAACTGTGATAACTATTATATTCTAATATTAACGTTAAACAAACTAAACCTCTATAGATGAATAATATGAATAAAGCCACTTTATGAATATTACAACTCTTTCAATATATAACTTTTCCCTACCTTGACTGGTTTTACATAATTTACCCATATGCAAAAGATTCTTTTACTGTTGGCTATAAAACTCATTTTAAAATGCTCAAGGAACATGGGTAAGCCTCAAAAACATGCTCGGTGAAAGAAACCAGATACGAAAGAATACATATTGATATGATGCAAGATTTCACTTATATGAAATGTCTAGAAATGCAGAAAGTAGATCAGTGGTTGCCTAGGGCTAGAGGTGGGAATTCACATGAAGTTTCTTTGGGGGGTAATATACTCAAAATTAGATGGTAGTGATGATTATGATAATAGTTTGATGGCTGTAAATATACTAAATTCGTTGACAGTGAATGTTATGGTATGTAAATATATTGTGGTAAAGCTGTTTTTAAAAAGCTGCAAGGCGCTTTTAGCATCTTTAAAAATAAACTACTATAACCAAACATAAATAATTTAAAATCAATGAAAACATTATCACCCTCTAACCACTCTGAATCTTCCATGATAGTGTTCCTGGTTTTGTCAATGGCACTATAATATCATTTTTTCAGTTAGAAAGGCTAAAAACCTATGAGTAATTTTGGATTCCTCCATCTTTTTAATTTCCTACCCTTATCAATAATCTGTCAGCAAGTCTTGTTGATCCTAAACTACTCTCCCCCGATTCCTACAGTTAAGAGAGCGACCTGTCTATAGTGATGAAAAGAGGAGAGAATTATTCAATAATCCTTGGATTTCAGTTCAACAGCCTGTGGGGAGAGACTTACAAATAAAAAGCGAAAAGGAAAAAAAATAATAAATCCTGCTTACATCAACTTCTTCTATCACTCTATCCTCTTATTTCAATGTCCCTGTCACTACCCTAAGTCTAGAAACAAAGGGCTTTGGCCCATATAATATTGGCATAAAATTATTCCTTGGTTAGAGAATCTTTGGTTGAGGTTTCAAAGCATGTCCCTGTAAACCTGCCAGAGGACACACAAGCTGGGCTGTATCACATAACCAGATCTACCTTTAGCAGAACCAAGCTGTCTAAGTCCCAGAATTATAAAGAAAATCCCAAATAAAAATATTTGTAATAACTATATATATCATCTTTGCTCATTTCTTTCTTTCTTTTTTTTTTTGA